TGTTAACATGGGCATAGTTTCCTTATTATTTCTTGGAAACACAATCTTACAGCAGACTTTGTGGACTCTTACAATCTTTCCATGCCTTTCCCATTATGTTTCCCAAGTCCTATGTGCAGGAATTTTGTTATAGATGTGTTCGGACTAGGAGCTACACAATCAGTTGTCCTATGCATTTATTCAGTTGTTGTTTTCTGTAATGGTCTCTTTATGCTGCCAAAGATGCTGCCTTGATGAGGGGTTAAAGGGCTACTTACCTGTGGGTATATGAGGTGTTTTTATAGCAACAAGGAATTAAGCTCATCTACTACAGTGGCAGTAGTATGTTCTATTCTAAAATCTATAATCTCGCTTCTCTTAGATATTGGTTAGATTTCTAGTACCAGGCATGATTTTCTTCTTGTTGAGTAGGCTTTGAGCTGAATTAGAGAGTTGTTGGTTACCAAAAAGATATGCACATTTAGGAATATCTTACCATGCTAATTATTGTGTGATTCATAGGTATTGGCTAGGTAGCACAATTGTTTGCTTCTCACCATCAGCAATTTGTATAGCACTTCTGATACTATGAAAATTAGTCCTAAAATCAAATATTCCCAATCCTGTGGTCAAGCTTCATAGTATCTTTAGCAACAGGAAATTAACTTCAACCTATAAGAGGCAACAAAGAAAAATAGCAATACACGGCATTGTTTGGGAAGGCTCTTGGACACCCCAGACCAACATCTCAAAATGTGGGTTCTCATGACTGATGCTGGGTTTTTGGTAGGTTTGGCATATCTCCGTTTAATCTATTTGTGTGCATATGCACAAAAACATATATATATTATATGTAAATTTAGTTAACATAAATAATACAAATCCTTATGGCTTTTGAAACAACCTCAGTGTTATTTGGCTTCTGCCTTTCCTTCAGTATGTCCTCCATCTCCTTCTGTAGTACTCCCTCTCCTTCTGTATGTTCTTCCCCCATTTTTCATTTTAAAAATTATATTTATTGGTGTAGAATATATACAAATCAATGTTATTTTATTCATTCTATTCTCATTTTTTGAAGTTTGAAGAGGTAAAGACAAAGAAGTCCATAAATGGTGAAATGGAAGTGGAAGTATAAAACACTAAATTTTGATTTAAGTCTCAATCTAAAAATATTAAAATACAGGCTATTCACAGGTTTCACTTCTACAATCCATGACCCTTTCTTGTTTCTACTCATTTCCTAGCTATACATGCCACATTAAACCTGAATATGATTTTACAGGCAATATATAGATGCATTTTTTTTAACTTCTCAAATTTAGTGACTATTAGGTTTTTACATTCATTTTAACATTTTAAATCACAAATTATATATTATACATATATGGCAAAAAAAAGTATGGTTAACATTTTTAAAGGGCTTGAAATTGTAACCAACAGTCTCTTTTAATTTCTTTCCCCAGAGTTTAACCCATTTAACAGTTGAAATTTAGGGCATAGTATTGGTGAAATCAGCATTTTAAATATTTATTTTCTATTTTTAAAAATCATTCACAGGTATTGATTAATAACTTCCTACCCTGTTAAACTGAAAATTTAGATAATGCTCCTTCCTGTTTTTTTCATAACTCTATCTAGTATGCTTTATGAAAACTCATGGATATTGACCAAAGTCAGAATACTTTTTACTTCAAGACACACATTTTATCTTTGCTGGAAAAAATCCTTTGTAATTCTACTTTTAAAAAAGTTGGAGACAGTTTTAATACTCCAACTATTATTACAATTATATTTCTTAACAATATAAACTTTATCATTTTCCTTTATTATATCTAGATAAATCTTGTCTTTTCTATAATCAGAAAGTGGAGTTGATCAAGTATTTGGTAATTTGATGATGAGCTGGTTAATTTCAGGTTAAATGTAAATTTTTGCAATATTATTATCATGTTATACTGTTTCCTGGAATCTATGTGATGGATTTAGACATAATTTCTGCCTCTATAAATCTATTAACAAAAAATTTTGTGCCATTTAATAAAATTTCCTTTAATATATACCATTAAACCAGATGGAATAGTGTATTCCTTTGGGGAGAAAAAGGCATGGGGATCTCCATGTATTCAAGCCGGCCTAATGTACTTAATTGAATTCCAGAACTGACTGAACTACATAGTGAGACACAATCACAATGAGTTAAAAATTAAGTTATTGTCTTCACCTATCCAGATTTTCTTTGAAAGTTTCAGTCTTATGCTGGAGAGATGCCTCAGCAGTTAAAAAATATTTATTACTCTTACAGACACAGGTTCAGTTTTCAACACTCATAACCCTATGTATCTCTAGTTCTTGGGAATCCAATGCCCTGTTCTGGCTTCTGCAGATACTCCTCATGTAGTACACACATATGTGCAAACACCCAAACATGTAATATAAATATATCTTGTTTAGAAAAATTCAAATCTATCTAAAGGTCAAATCCACTTATCACTTTTGAAAAAACAATTAGTTTAACTGGTATTAAAATCTTCAAATTGAACATAGTGGAAAAATGATGTTTACGCACACACACACACACACACACACACACACACACAAACACACACACACACTGATACATCTCATTCTAAATTTCCCATGACCAATCTCCATCATCTGATCTTGCCTTTTGAAAAATGTGTTGAAAGTTCTCTATAAATAGTTCTTTCCCTTGTCTTTGAGATTTTAAAAAAGATTTTTATTGCTATATTCCACAGTAATTACATTGAAATCAGAAAATAGAGGAGATAAAGGAAGATATTAATCCATCATTTTAAGACATAATTATTTTTCATCTTTCAATGAAAATAAAAAAAAAACAAAACCACAAGTACTGTTCGGTGTGAAATTGCAGAAGGGAATATCTTTTCATTTCAATCTGCATACAGTGGAAATTTTCATTTTTTAAATCTGTTCTCTTACAAATATTTATGTGTGGCATCATTAAACATTACTTTCACATACCATATATTCATATTGTCTACTCACCAAGGTCTGTTCAATGTATATTAACATTTCTCTAATTCAGATGGATACTACTTGGCTCTCCTTAGGTCTGTTCAATATATATTAACATTTTTCTAATTCAGATGGGTCCTACTTGGCTAATATGTTCTTATATATTGATAACAATGTGAACTCTTTCATTCCAATTAGGGTTAACCCAATCAATATAAGAAATATATATGTATATATTTCCCATGTACATAGATTGAAATAAAAAGGTATACTCCTCTCATATATATATGTATATATATACATATATACTTATATATTTCTTATATACTTATATATTTCTTATATATAAGTATATATGTATATATATGTATATATATGGATGATGGATGAGAGAGAGAAAAGAGAAAGAGAGAGAGAGATAGCAGGTTTGATAAACTGGGTTTAGGAATCTGTAAAGTGATAAACTAAACAAAGGTAACATCACTTGTAATTTCAGAGAAAGTGGAACATGATTCCAACTCAGGTATCCAAAATATTAGGGATTACATAATGTGTAGTTACTGTTGCAATAAAAAAGCAGAACATGTTCCCACACTTCATCTTCCTAAGTAGGCAGCTTGGTATCATGCCAAATACAAATTATTCTTATGAGACACGTATAGAAATAAATATGAGTCAAAATATGCTGCAAGCTGGATTGCTTTTGCCAGTAATTTGCCTGGAGCATTTCTTGTTTTCATCCATAGATATTGGCACCAGTAGCAACGAACTAGACATTTGTCAATTATTTCACTAGCCAGAGCAAGACAGAAAAATATGAAATAAGACCCAGGAAAAAACAGAAGTGAAAGTTAATAAACAGACATGAATTGAATTCTTTTTATATACAAAATATAAATATTTATATTCAAATTAATTTGCTAATACATAAGATAAATTATTTCTAAATTCTGCTATTTAAAAGTCAATAAAAATGGTTGCCCTTTGGCTTTGGTTCTGGCACTAATGAAACTTCAGCTATTCATAAGACCTATTTACAGACAAAAAATGACTACATATATGTATATGAATATTAGAATATGTACTTAGTATATATATATATATATATATATATATATATATACAAATTTTTTCATAAAATTCATGTTGTTCATTATACATTGGGTTCCTGAAACTTTTATTTCAAGTTCTCCTGGAGTCTGAAAACCTGAAATACTAAGGTTTTGTTCTTTTCATATTCATGGCTGCTCTATCAAGCCCTTTTATCTATATATTAGGCCCCTCAAAATTATACTTTTCAGGTACTCTGTTACTGATTTTTCACAAGTTCAATGGAAAAATGAACTGAAAAATAAGCTCCAAATTTCTGTCTAGTGTATATACTTTCAATGACCATAACAGAGGGGGAAACAGAGGTGGCTGATAATCAAACAAACACAACTCCTAATAGGATCAGGCATGTCTTTGACACTTTTGCCTGCTCTCAGAATTCTTTTCCTCCTATTAGGTTGCCTTGTCCAGCCTCCATATGGGGGCTTTCAACTTGTCCAACTGTATCTTTCTTTGATCTATTTGGCTTGAAGGTCTTATGCTTTCTGAAGGACAATGGAGAGGAAAAGGATCTGGGGAAGATGGAAACTGGAGGGAACTGGAAAGAGTGTAGGGTTGAGGAAACTGTGATTGTTATGTAGTGTATGAATTAAGAATATATTTCCAATTATTATCAGGGGCTAATTGATATGACAATGACTTGACTTTTTTCCTTTATTTCTTTTTAGGTCTTATGAAATATTAATTTTCCTATAGTAATTCACTTTACAGTTAGAGCATTGAACTAACAAGCCATGGCTCATTTGAGGGGTTAAATAAATTATAGTGACCAAGATGCTCATTCACTCAGAACATGTGACATTCATTTCATGTATTTACTCTGCATTATATCCCTCCCTTTGCTTTCCTCTGAGTTTGTGTATTAGACTCCTTGGCTATATTCAACCAACATGTTTATATTACTCTAATTTCAGCATGTGGCAAATTGATGAAGATCACAGGCCCTATCACGGTCAAGACATCTGGAACTCGATTTGGTGCTTGGATGACAGATCCCTTAGCATCTGAAAAGCATAACAGAGTAAGATTTTTCTACAAATGCTTTTGCTTACAATTAGATTTCTCTCACACTATTTTCTCCCAGGCTATTCCTTTTCTTCATGATATAGGTTCTGGTACAAAGAGTGTTATTTCATGGTATTTTCCAATAGAAGTGCTAATATATCTAATGTGTGTAGTAAATCTATATTAGTAATGCATTCCTCTTAGAATTCTTCAGTGTAGTCTAGACTAATTGTCATTGAATTTAGTCTTGGATTTTGCTTGAAATGAATGAATCACACACACACACACACACACACACACACACACATATATATATATATAATTTTTCCTGAATATTCTATAAGAAATATGGTCTTTAGATTAAAAATCACTATTATTGAGGTTTAATAAGGATCAGGAGAAACAAATAGGCTGAATAGATATTTCTTCAGGGAGAAATAACTTACAACATAGACAGATGAATACCTGCAGTTTCCTGGTCCCAAGGATGCCTCCAGATGCTCTCCTATGCACGTGCTGCAAGCAAGAGAGTGCTCCCAGGCTCCTCCCCAGGTCACTTCCACCCCTGTCTCCAACTCCAATGTGCATGGTCAGTGCCACAGATGCTGACAAAGTGAATATCTTACTACAATTCCTCATTTAGTCTAAAGAAAAGATTTAGGCTTCATACAAAACTATATACTGTTTTGTGAATAACAAGTGTGCTCTAAGAAAAAGAAAATCGAGAACATACAAACTTATGATCTACATATTTAGTCTAGGGTGAAGGCATAATGGGGTTTACAATAGAGTTGTCCTAAGCTGGAAAGCTTAAGTCTAGTGCCTAATGTATATAACTAGGAAGAGAGAATAATAGTTATGATAGTTTAATCTTTAACTTCATCAAAGACCTGAGAAGGAAAATAGCAATACTAGGGTAGGCAGGAAGTGCAGATGGGCAACTTCCAAATGGTGCACTGAGGACAGAAACAGCAGTCTACCTGGACAGTCACCCAAGATAACACAGCAACATTCATACAGTCAGTTTTGGCTAAGGCCTAGAGTGCCTGACAGACCACAACAAAGCAGGGAGGTAGAAAGGCTGTCTTATCCTGACTTGGCAATGTTCAACAGACTTCTATGTTTGTCTCCTACAAGAACATAGGACGACATGTCCAAATCAGTTGTCAAGGTAGGGCCAGTTCTTTGCTCAAAAGGCCATTAGCCAAAGTGAGGATAGACTCCAAAATGAGCAACTACAGTGTCCAACATATTTTCAGGAAAGTTCACAGTACTGTCAGGAGCAATAGTGTCTAATGTCAACGGAGTACTAATATTAAAACATTTAAATGCCACATTCTCCATGTCTATGAAGTGTCTGAAGATTAAGCATCTATGTCTGACTAATCTCATAGATATAGGAAACATGGGTGAAGATAATCTGAAATACTCAGGAATCTAGCTATAAAATTGATAGAAACTTCCCTGAGTAAAGCAGGGACAAATATGTAAACAATACAACAATGTATGTATATGTACATGTAAATCCCTAAAACAGAGGTAGAGTAGAAATGTCTAAACCAGAGGTAGAAGTATAAAGTGCAGCATGGTAAAAATATCATAAATTGTATCAATATACAAATGTCTTGAACATAAATAAAAGTATACATACATAGAATATGGTAGGTTAATGTGCATAAAACATCATAAATGGAAATATTTTATATAATATGGCAAAATATAATGTACAATTCATCTGGGACGGGAATATAAACATAATTTTACATAGGTTACCACATACAAGAATCTATAACAATGTAAGCTGTATAATACTAATATCTCACTATTACTAAAATAATTCACAAGAAGATAGGCTAATCTACCTATATCCCATCTAAACCATACCTTTCCCAACCATACCCTATCCCTGTCTAAAAGACATACCTGAATCTAAACATCACCTTCCATACCTAACACTAAGTAACTAAAACCAACCCTAAGAAGATAAATATTATAAAAACAATTCAGCTGAAACTAGTAAGAGTGTTTTCATAAGTTGGCAATATCTGTACTATATAAGTAAATATAGTAATTCTGTTTATTTTTTAATTCATTCCAAATTAAGATTCTTGATAGTTTTATCCAAATGAGGTGTGCTATTAAGTTAATGCAATTGTTTCACTAAGATATACAAGATAACCCAATGAATAAAAGTAACTATAAGGTTCTGTGGTAATTACAAAGTAACTATACATTTAGCATGTAGAATAAAATAGACATATTTTTAGGGCAAAAGGCACAATGAAGATAAAGCCTTACAGTTGTCATTGATCATGTTGTTATATCACAAATTTGCTTTGAATAACATTTGATGAGTTGGTCAGCAATAGGCATCAGCTTGCCAGAAATAAAATAAAGAAAAAGTAAATTAATTTAAAGGTATTAAATTCAGCTTTTCCATAGAAATATTCTTTTAAAAAAATTTAATGTATCTGTGTGTGGGTGTGGGTGTGTATGTGTGTGTGCATGTCACATATGTATAGAGGTCAGAGGGCCACCATCATTCTTGATTGCTACCATTGGTGTTTGGGGAATAGAACTCAGCTTGTCATCTTGACAGAATCTTTACCTACTGAGTCATTTTGCTGGCCCTCCACACAAAAGGGCTGGCAATGTTATCACATTTAAAAAGGATAGAAGGAAGAACATTTTATATCTAAACCTCGAAAACTTTACTGCAACTTTGACTGCCTTATTTGAGAATATTTATACAAGTCAAGACTTTAATCACTTCACTTGTTTTTCTTGTTTCCCCCTTATTTTCAGGTCTGGTATATGGACAGTTACACTAACAATAAAATAGTTCGCGAATATAAGTCCATTGCTGACTTTGTCAGTGGAGCTGAATCAAGGACATACAACCTCCCTTTCAAGTGGGCAGGAACTAACCATGTTGTCTACAATGGCTCACTCTATTTTAACAAGTATCAGAGTAATATCATCATCAAGTACAGTTTTGATTTAGGGAGAGTGCTAGCCCAAAGAAGCCTGGAGTATGCTGGCTTTCACAACGTATACCCCTACACATGGGGTGGCTTCTCTGACATCGACCTAATGGCTGATGAAATTGGCCTGTGGGCTGTGTATGCAACTAACCAAAATGCAGGCAATATTGTCATCAGCCAGCTTAATCAAGATACCTTGGAGGTGATGAAGAGCTGGAGTACCGGATACCCTAAGAGAAGTGCAGGGGAATCCTTCATGATTTGTGGGACTCTGTATGTCACCAACTCCCACCTCACTGGAGCCAAAGTGTATTATTCCTATTCCACAAAAACTTCCACATATGAGTACACGGATATCCCCTTTCATAACCAATACTTTCACATATCCATGCTTGACTACAATGCAAGAGATAGAGCTCTTTATGCCTGGAACAATGGCCACCAGGTCCTGTTCAATGTCACCCTATTCCACATCATTAAGACTGAAGATGACACATAAGCAAAAGGCATTTCTTTTTATCTATCTACACTGTCATTTACGATAAACTCTATAGGACCCTATCTGTGTTTATTTGTTTTTCCTTGATTGAATTGTCATCATTTCTCCAGAGCAAAGCTTTTTACTGTATATTTGGAGTTTCAAAGAGTATTTTGTCTAAGTTAATGTGTCAGAAATACATCTTAACTCCTAAATTTACAGGGCCTATCATGCCCTTGTTGTGCAAAGCACTAAAAGAAGTTTAAGTTGCTTGAGTCATAGTTTTGCAAAAGATTAATTATTTGCCTTGTATTAGAATCAAACTAATTGTGGCTTAAATGCATGAATGTCTTCTTTTTTGAACTGTCTTTTCTTTTTTTTTTTTTTAAACTGTCTCTTCCTCTACACCCAGAAATATTTTCATAGGAATTAAGGCTAAAGAAAAGTACTTTCCCTCCATTTATTTCTATAAAAAAGATTTGAAGATTTTATTTATATGGAAAATACTATCAGTTATGTTGCTGTAACCACATTCTCTGATGCGGTGCTGTGCAGTCATTTCTAAATCCCTTGCTAACATTTTCTTGGCAATATGTATTTCTATCATTGTACTCACCATTGTACAGTTGTATTTCTTCACTTCTGTGAAAGTAATATTTTTTTATAAAATTCACTAAAATTTAATAGCAGTAATTATTCAAGTGAGTTTTCAAGTGTGGTCAAGAAAGATCTTCTTGGCTTACCCCTTCACATAAGCACTATAAGCTTAAGAAAAATAAAATCAAGCCAGGTATCAAGAATCTTTGTCACAAGTTCATTCTCCTATTGGCTCTGAATTTAAAATTCACCAATTAAATACACCAATTCAATACAGTGGTACCCAGTTTCCTGGAAATAGCCCACATAATTGTTTGTAAAATATGTGTCTGTGTTATAAAGACTCCATTTGATTCTATTCATTTATCATTATTAGTGTTATTACACAATATATACACTAATATATATTAGTATTTTAACATATTTTACATACAAATTTCAATAATAATGTCATTTATTGTAAAATATGAAGCACATGAAGATTATTAAGAAAAGAACATTTATGTAATTTTTACTATATTAAAATTATGGACCCTAGAGAGTTATTGGCAAGCTTGTACAAAAGAAAATGGTGAAAAGAATCAGGTAGTTGTCTTTGGTATCAAATGTATACACAACCAATTCAGAAAATGAAATAAGAATGAAATTTCTTGAAACCTTGTCTCATGGTACACTCAAAATTAAAGAAACTGAAAATATTTGTTACTAATTCCAGAAACAATAAATATCAATGAGATTAAAAAGTACCTTCCATATTTTAAAAGAATTCCCCTAAGGCACCTCTATTGAAATTAATAATGATGTATTTTAAATTTAAAAAATTCTAAAATAAATAATATACAACTTAAAGTGTAACTTTTTGTCTCATACACACACTACCACATTTTTAAATAAGCATATGGTCATGCAGACAAAGCATTCTATAAACAGTGATGTTTACAGTAATTCATTTCAAATCCTGCAAGTGAAGAGATGTTCTCAAATCAAAATTGGGCAATATAATTACTTAATCTTGAAACTCAAGGTTGAATGTGAAGGAGCCACCTTTTGTCAACAAAACATAAGCATGATCTCATGGGCACTGTGCATTTTTAAATAATGGTGTCTTCTCTTCCCAAACATTTTCTCAAGTTCCTATCTACAAATGAGAGAAAATTTAGGAGATTCATTTGTCATACTACACATGCAACAAAAGTAATCAATTCATACTTTATATAGCAATTTGTATAAGGTAAAAAATTCATGTCAGCTTTAGAAATCAATCAAGTTTTAAGTAGACAGACTCTAATAGGAACCATTCCTGTTATGTTATGTGACATCACATACATTTAAAATATGGATGATCATGGCTTATTTGTGAGGTGTGCATTTGTACAGAGCCTTGTTGTTTTCTATGTATGGTTTCATCATCTATCAAATATATAGTGTATTGCTGCTAGAACAAGCTAAGATATTATTGTCACTAGAATTGGGATAACATGATCTTAAAATATGACTTGCATTAAACATTTACAGATTAGGAGAATTTCCTTAATAAATTATGTTCAGTTTTGTGCCTGAAATAAATAAGAACTTAATCATTGTTTCCTTTCTAATCTCCAGCAAATACAGTAATTTTATGAGGAAAATTATGAGTAGTTTAAAATCACCCATAGAATCCAAGCAGTGCAGAAATCTAAACTCAGAAAATCCTCATCTAAAGTGAACTGTGTAACTGGTATTTTCTAAATGAATCACATCATTAAAGTACTGTGTGTCATTCAAATATGTCCGTGGTCAGATTGTGTTGGTGTGTTATTTCAATTTGTGGACCTTGAATCGCAAGTCTTATTACGTGTATCTAAACTTATTTTTACAAGTTCACACAATGGTAATTCCCCAGTGCATTAACAATGTATAGCAATAATAGAAAGATACAGCAGATGCAGTCTATCCAGAGAACATGAGTGATTAGCCATGCTTTACCACAAATTAAGTAGCCCTGATTTCTATCTCCATTATAGTTTCATTTCTTTATCATTGAAAGCACTCTTGGTGATAAAATGAAGAAAATATTAACTTTCTATTGATGTCATATGTAAAGAAAAACAAGCACATCCATGTCTTCAGGTTTGAAGTCACTGAGAAATTTCAAGTAGAAATGTTTCAGAGTAGTGATTCCTGAAATTGAAACATAAAATTATGCAAGTCCTACCAGCAAAAGAAAGTTTTCTCCTAGTAGCATGTGGTTTACATGCATTAGTTCTTAAGTTTGAATCTCCTAAAAACAAAAGCGGCACTAACTCTTAGATCTTCAATCACCAACTTTTTCTTATAATACTTTTTATTTAAATTTGAAACAAGTTTCTTTTACATGTCAGTCCCAGTTCCCTCACCCTCCCCTCCTCCCCTGTGCCCCTTCAAGCCCCACCCAATCCCCTTCCTGCTCCCAAGGGAGGGCAAGGCCTTCCATAGGGGATGTTCAAAGTCTGTTATATCACTTGGAGCAGGGCATAGGTCCTTCCCCATGTGTCTAGGCTGAGAGAGTATCCCTGTGTGTGAGATGGGCTCCCAAGATCCATTTATGTACTAGGAATAAATACTGATACACTACCAGAGGTCCCACAGACTGACAAGTTCTCCTAACTAACACCCACTTTCGGGGCATCTGGATTGCAGTCCTTATGCTGGTTTCCCAGCTATCCGAATGGGATCCATGAGCTCTCACCTGTTCAGGTCAGTTGTTTCTGTGGGTTTCTCCAGCCTGGTATTGACCCATTTGCTCATCACACCTCCCTCTCTGCAACTGGATTCCAGGAGCTCAGCTCAGTGTTTAGCTGTGGGTGTCTGCTTCTGCTTCCATCAGCTACTAGATGAAGGCTCTAGGATGGTGTATAAAGGTATGAGTGAGTACATACCATGTTTTTCTTTTTGTTACTGGGTTACCTCACTTAGGATGATTTCTTCTAGTTCCTTTTATTTGCCTGAGAATTTCAAGATTCCATTGTTTGTTTGCTTGTTTTCTGCTGAGTAGTACTCCATTGTATAAATGAATCACATTTTCTCTATCCATTCTTCAGTTGAGAAGCATTTAGGTTGCTTCCACATTCTGGCTATTACAAATAATGCTGCTGTGAACATAGGCGAACAGACATCCTTTTTGTATGAATGTGCATCTTTTGTGTACATGTCTAAGAGTGGAATTGCTGGATATTTCCTGAGGAATCATGATAGTGATTTCCGAAATTGCTGTACAAGCATGTACTCTCACCAGCAACAGAGTGTTCCCCTTTCTCCACATCCTCTCCAGCATAAACTGTCATTTATGTTTCTAATTTTAGCCATTCTGACAGGAGTAAGTTGGTATATCTGAGTTGTTTTGATTTGCATTTCCCTGATGGCTAAGAATGTTGATCACTTTCTTAAGTGTCTCTTAGCCATTTTAGATTGCTCTATTGAGAATTCTCTATTTAGTTCTGGACCCAAGTTTTTAATTAGATTATTTGGTGTTTTGGTAACTAGCTTCTTCAGTTCTTTGTATATTTGGAGATCAGTCCTCTGTCAGATGTGGGGTTGGTGAATATCTTTTCCCATTCTTTGGGCTACCATTTTATCTTATTAACTGTGTTATTTGCCTTACAGAAGCTTTTCAGTTTCAGGAGGTCCCATTTATTAATTGTCTGTGCTACTGGTCTGTGCTACTGGTATGATGTTCAAGAATCAGTCTCCTGTACCAATTTGTTCAAGGGTACCTCCCACTTTCTCTTCTAAATGGTTCAGTATGGCTGGATTTATGTTGAGGTCAATAATATCTTTGGACTTAAGTATTGCGCATGATGATAGATAAGGATCTATCTGCAGTCTTCTACATAGCAGCATCCAGTTATGCCAGTAACATTTGTTGAAGATGCTTTCTTTTTTCCATTGTATAATTTTAACTTTGTTAAAAATCAGGTGCTCGTAGGTGTATGGGTTAATATCAAATTTTCAATTGGATTCCACTGGTCTACCTGTTTATTTTTATACTAGTACCAAGATGTTTTCAGGACTATAGCTCTATAATAAAATTTGAAGTCAGGAGTGTTGATATTCTGGAAGTTCCATTATTGTACCAAGGTTATTTTTTTTTTTGGCTATCCAAGTCTTTTTTTTTTTTCCATATAAAGTTGATTATTGTTCTTTCAAGGCCTGTGAAGATTTGTGCCAGGATTTTGATAGGAATTGCATTGAATCTGGAGTTTGCTTTTGGCAAGATTGCAATGACCCTTCTGCTTCTATTGTGTTCAACACTTTGAAGAGTGTTGGTACTAGCTGATATTCTTTGAGTTTCTGCTAGAATTCTGCAATGAAACCATCTGGCCCTGGGCTTATTTATGGTTAGGAGACTTTTTTTTTCTTGTTTTACATATTGACCCCAGTTCCCTCTCCCTCCCTCCCTCTGCTGTCCCCCGACCCACCCTCCCATCCCATTCCCTGGTTGGGAGACTTTTGATGACTGCTTCTATTTCACTAGGGGTTATAGATCTATTTAAATTGTTTTCTGGTCTTGATTTTACTTTCTTAAGTGATATCTATTCAGAAAATTGTCCCTTTCCTTTACATTTTTGAATTTTGTGGAATACAGGTTTTCAAAGTATGACTTCAAGATTCTCTGGATTTCCTCAGTGTCCATTATGTTCCTCTTTTCATTTCTAATCTTTTTAATTTGCATGCTCTCTTTTTGCCTTTTGATTAGTTTAGATAAAGGTTTGTCTATCTTGT